GGCGAATGTATGGAATAATCACACGACAGAAGGTCCAGTTGCATTCACATCAACTGTACACTTTTGCAAGCGTGTGAAGCCTACTTGTTGCAGCAAATCTCGAACTGCCTTCAGAGAAGATGTTGCTCCTGGATTGGCAACAATTTGTGCAGCTTCCCGGACCCGAAGTCGACGCATCGTGAATGCAATGGAGGCATTTCGGTGCTACCTTGAGCTCATGGTACCAATTCACAGTTCGGCTCTGCCGCACTGACACACATCGCGAGTGGCGAGGAGACTTCAGCAATACACCGTCAAATCCGTCTGTCGATTCTTCACACGAAGCATGTCTTTTGTTGGCATAGAAACTCCGCAAGACCCATCTTCACGACCTGCGCATTCGAAGTGGCTCACAGAATGACATTCCGTGACGCTTCAAGTCGAGTGAAAGAGGAAACACCGAAACAGTCCTTGTGAAACATTGTCAGAGCGAAGGAGCAACAACAAGTCAAGATTGCCGACAACCACTTTCTATGTCTGTGTTCGTGTGTATGCGTGCATGTATGCATGTATATGTAAGTATATCTGCTTATAATTGAGTGTGTGTCTATAGAAAGATTTGAGCTCAACTTTCAGTCGAAATGCTTCCTTTAAAGAAATGGTAAACCTGATTCTTTAAAGCGGTTCACGTACAGAATAGTTGTGCACCCATCAAAAGAGTGTGCGTCCATCCATCCTGAATCACACAACAGCAAAAGCAAGACCGAAAGATGTTGTTTAGGCATATTCACATCGACTTTATGCATCTGCCGGCATGTGCGGGGGAGAAAGTGGAAAACGAGGCAATCCGAGGACTACCATCCTCGGCTCGATCCCAATTCTTTGGGCTTCCTTGAAGATTGCTTGCTCGACGAATGAACGGAATACTCCCACCCTCCATTTGAGCTAAACTACCAATCCCCTCAAGTCTACATTCTGCCCAAACTTATTATCTGCCGTCATGGATCTGGTATGAAAGTCGGCAAGTTTCTTCTCAACTTGCGAAGGACACTTCGTGAAATGATTCGAGTCCTCTTTCCTCCATCGCCTTCCAATCGAGGTGACAGCATCTCGACTGGCGCAATTCGCATTAGCACACTCATCTTCTTGATGCATACTTTTTCAGCAGATATCCCAAAAATGAATTGTGTCCAATCATTTGTCGTCTTATCCACCTTTCCAATGTGCTGGTTCCAGTTTTGCTGTAAAAATGCTGCGAATCTGCTTTTTTGTTATCCCCACCCAAGTTGATGCAATATCTTCCCTTTGTCCCTTCAACACGGCCCTTCTTGTAGATGCAACCGAATGGACTCATCTGCTTCCGCCTACTCAACCCGTCGATGCTCCCGGCCAATCGTGTATGATCTTGAATTAGTGGTTGCAGGCTTCACCAGACGCCAACATAGAATTGTTTTGTATTCTGGTCCCCGAGATTGTCGAACACGTTCTCAGCACATCCGCGTTCACAGAACGATGTCCCGAGTGCTTTTTTCATCAACTACCCTTTCCTCTTGTACAAATCGCTTTGCTCGCCGACTTGACAAACAAATGCAAATGTCCACAAAGACCTACAGCGCCTCTTCATCGACATGGCTACCGGTCTTCGTGTGAATCCGCTGTTGAAGCTTCCTGTTTCTACCAACTCTACCGAAGCGTAGATGAGATCCTGAGTTTGTTGGCTCAACAAGACTTTTATGCCTATTCCGCGTACACGACCCTTCAACAACACCTCGTCTTTCTGGTTGAAAGCTTGGACTCACCTTCCTTTCATTTAGGACTGGTGTTGTTGGTATGGTTCTAGGGCTTGTTGAAATCAAGCGGCAAAGGGGCAACAGAGGCCTGACCTGGCCTCGGTGGGCCTGGCAACCACACGACGCTGCATCGGCGACGTTGTCCACATGCAAAATAAACGAGTCCGATGTCGGCGAGTCTGCAGCAACGCGACGCTTAATCGTAACCGTACTACTTAAATGGCCGTGATCAATCCAAGCGGAGAATTAATTAAAAATATGCATTATTTTCTTCGTTGCCGAGCTTAATTTGGGTTCATTACTCACTTCTGTCATCTGGCGTTGAGTCGGAGTCGATCACAGGATGAACTGGCAAAGTAGAGATCCGGTCTTCGGGGCTGAACATGTCTCGCATGAATGAAGAACGACTGAGCTTCGAAGGAGAAATTGGCCCAGTGGAATAAAGCAATTTCCAGAAATGATGCTTTCTCGCCCTGGCGACGCTTGACTCGACGGAACACACACAAACTATCCTCACGAATGGATCGGCAGCACATGACGATGCGTCGAGGAGTGGATCGTGCTACAATCCTCAACAACCGCTCCTCCATTGGCGCCGATTCGCGAATGCCTTCCAAACAGTTTACTCCGTCAAAAGTGGGATGCCTCGACTCGTCACTTCAGCAGTGCGTATCCTCGGACCCTACAGCCCCGAGGCGTGTGAATGCGATCCTGCTTGAAAGGCTTCAATGCAGAGCCAGAAGGACTTGAAAAATGCCACCTCGACTTTGGGGCACAGCAACAGAATGAAGCTTACACTTCCCCTCTTTCTTCGGTTGCAAGCCGATCGAGCCCAGATGCAACCCTGACAACATGCAAGGTACAGAAACGCAAAGAAACTTGTGTACTAGTAATTCAGTCAACTCGAGTAGCCCAAAGTGAGCAAAGGAGGGATAGTGGAGATTTTTCCATATTTCCACGAGAAGGCCTCGCAATCAACATTCGATAGTGGGACTGTGGGCGTGAGAAGCATGCATTTGCCAGTTTACCCGACGACGGTACGTATTCTGTATGAGAGATACCCTCATGTCATTGATACAGAAAATGTGCCCTCAACAACCAGAGTAGGGCAAGAAACACCAGCAATCTAGGATGACAAAATGTCGATTCACGCATTACAGCTCACCTCATAACATGCTCACATCGAAAGAAATCCTCATGCTGCTGTACCTTTCAGTTGGTCTGAAAAGGTAGGCATCATCGGAAACCGAAGGAGTATGTTGAATTCGGCCAATTGGGCTTTTATAATGGTCGAAAGAAACCCACCACGTGACCCCAATTCGTACTAAGAAGTCGGCTGTGATGAAGCTTGTCAAAGTCAGAAAGCATCATTTAGCAAAATTCCTTAATACAATTAATCAGGAATAGCTGTTTTTTCCTCCTCCCTCTCCTTAATGCTCTTCTGTACATTAGCATTTATCACTCAATTTATTTCACTTACTAATTCAAATCACAATTGTGCTTGTTCTATATCTTCCGCTTAGCCAGGGAGTAATCGTATTCCCGCCCCAGGTCGCAGGAAAAGAGTCTTGATATTCAGAAAGATTAGAAAGTTGTCGAAAAGAAGAGGTGACCGAATAAAGTGTCAGGTTTGCTTTAACCAAATGGTCCCAATGTGGCATTTCCTCAAGGCCTATCATTTTGATAGTTGAGGGCACAATGAACTCAGTAACCTAGACAACATGTTCAAATGCCAGCTTTGCACTAAATTGCTGCAACCCTGCTCGCAGTTATTAATAGTAGAAAATTATGTGTATTTACGCATAATGAAGAATTATGCTAAAGTTGCATTTTTCCTAAACTCTCCGCCTCTTGATCTCTTTCCTTCACGTCTGCCAGATGCGGACTCTCACTCTTATGCATATTACATCCAGCCCAGAGTTGTGATTATTAAATAAATTCAGATAGGCAATCGCAATTTTGTTTCGGCTTTACTTATGCCGATATCCAAACAGGGTAATTTATCAGTCTTTTATGACCTCCCGAATTATGCAATCTTCCGAACTCTTTAGGCCATGATACTTTCATTTCGTTCGAGAAGGTGGCTGAAAAAGGTTCGTAAGTTGGTCTCAGCTGATACTGAAGGAAGGTTGCCTTGGACTAGGGACTGTTGAAATGTGCAAAGTAGACCATTATTTACGAAAAATCACCCAAAAAGACTAAACCAATAAAGGCGGCTGGCTGAAATTCTACTTTTCGCATTTAAGTATTGTTTTGAGACTACCAGTAAATCAGTAGTATAAGATGTATTTACCCAATTTCGGATAAGATGATGAAGGCTGGTAGAAGAATTTTCCCACAATGATATGAGTAGAGCTGAAGTTTCCATTCAATTTCACATTGCCTCGCTTTCCCAAAAGTCGACTGCAGTTTCGACCTCGCATCGGTCTTATCAACACACCCGGCGGGAGTCGAACCGTGACAGTGCAGAATGGGAGCTTGACACGCTTCGTCGAAAATCCCACCAAAGAATATGATATGGCAAAGGGCCTGGTCTTTCTTGAAATTCACATTTTCCCTGTGACCCAAAGGCACTCGTGCCAATGTGGCCGAGTGGTTAACATGTCAGGCTCTCATTCTGCACTGTCACGGTTCGACTCC